ATGAGGGGGGGATGGTGGGGAAGGAAGGGAAGGGAAAAATGAGGAGCTGATATCAAGGGCTCAAGTAGAAAGTGAATGTTTTGAGAATGATGATGGCAACAAATGTACAAATGTGCTTGACACAATGGATGTATGTATAGATTGTGATGAGTTGTACAAGCCCCCAATAAAATGATTTTTTTTAGAAAATCCAAAGGGGAAATTTCACCCTGGACTACAGGGTAGCCATGAATTGGTATCAACTCAATTTCTGTGAGTTTTGGTTTTAGAATTTGTTTTCTTTCATGCTTTGTACTAGGGATAGTTCCTTGCTATTTGCACCATCTTTATTTGCTTTTATATTTAACTTGCTGTTTCTGAAACATTTTGTAGATGTTGTATTCATTTGTTAATTGTGTGTTTGTTACATTCTAATTTTAAATTTGCTTGGCTTTTATATATCCACATAGGTACGGATGATTTGGTAATATGGTATCAGTGGTTCATTCCTCTCTTGTATCCAGATTGGCAGAGTAACTGGTGGGTTTTTTACGAATGTGTCTGCTCCCTGGTCATGAAAAGCAGCTTCAGGTGGAAAGAGCATGTTTTATCCATGGTGTGGTACACATGGCTGACTAGCTGGATGAAAATATCGTCTTCTCATCACATAGGACAGAAGAAGAAAACTAAGGGGGAAAGGTGGCGTGAGGAATGGAAAATATGGGTAGAAATAAATGACAAGGGAAAAAGAAAGGGAGAAAACAAATCAGTACGAAGGGAGAAAAAAAGGGGACAAAAGTTAAAAATAAACAACAAAAAGACAAGGATGAAAAACCCAGAAAGTTCTTGCAATCTGCCTTTATTCATTCTCAAAAAAATTTTTTTAACTTTCTCCTATGAGTTAAGTGAAAGTTTAGAGAGATCAGTATTGCATTCAACAATTCATGCATGCTTTGTTTCATTTCATTGATTACTATCTTACTCTGTTATAACACTTATTCCACTTCCTTCCTGTTCCCTGTTTCCATTCCTCTTTTTAACCGTTCTGAGTAAATGCTCCCCTTTGGATCTCAAGTGGCTGATTATTTTGAGGTGTGTATACCTCACTGGTTATTTTCAATAGACGGTTTTATGGTTTTGCTGGAAAATTAAACCACTGGTGTCAAGTCATTTCCAAACCTGATTGATAACTACGTCAAATACAAAAGGCCATGATTTGGATTCCACTAGTCTCTATTTGACCAATATACCTTGTCTTTTTTATGATTTTGAATATTTCCCCTTATATTTATCTCTCACTCTATAAAGGAACAATATTCAGGGAAGGCTTCTAATATGAGCCCTTTCAGAGCAGTTGTGGTAATGGCTGGACACCACCTTGTAGTTTTTCTTGTCCCAAGGTTGTGGAAACTGATATTTATGTGGTCCATTAATTCATTAGATTAATTGCTTCCATGTATCTTTAATTTTCTTCATTCTTCTTTCATCCACAGTTTGCATTGGCTTGTTCCTGTCTTTGGGGCAGGAGCCTGGCAGCAGAAGCTAGGCACAAGAATTGGGATGTGCCACACAGCTTGGTTCATTTGGGAACTGATGCTAGCATACGGTGGCTTGAACATACCTATTAGGCATCAAGAAAGTGGGGGTTTTTCCCTTGCTACTGGCTTAGTCAGAATGTGGGAGAGAGTAATCCCTGGTTACCAGGAAGATATGATAGGAAAGCCAGGTGTGGGAAACAGAAAGATTTCTCTCAAGTCGTATCCCCTAAATATATGTTAGACTTTGGACACTGCTTGCAGCTAATGGTAAATGATTGTCAAGTTACCTCCCAGAAGGCAGTCAGTTGCCAGACTACTGTCTGGTCCTACCACAGGTAGGGCCCACTCCCTGCTGTTAAGGACAATGGGCTTCTTTTCCCTAAAGGCTTGCGGCCATTAGTCTGGTCCCTGTAGGTGGGGTTTACACCCTACTGATAATGGTTTCTATGGTGGACCAGAGAACAGGTCAAACTGGCTCAGTGACATCCATAGTTAGGCTGCCATCCTGAATCTAGGATCCACCCAACTTGTCATATGTGTACCCCCAATATCTCCCCTTCCTATTATGTTGATACCCCTAGATCACCCCCCTCCCATTACTGTATTACCTATAGCACAATCCTTTCCTGTGGCATATGTCTTCACCTATAATTAGGGGGCTTGCACGTCCCCAGAGAATATAAAAGCCTTGGTTAGCAATACATCTCTCTCTCAACATGGACCACCAAGTGAGGCTGAGGTGAGCATGCTACCATGAAATGTGTCTAATTCCATTATTTCCATCTCTCTTCTATCTCTCATGCTCTCTATGACTTTATTATAATCTTTACTTATTATCGCTGTACCATTGTGCCTACTGACCCGTGATGATGTGTTAGGGGCTGGTATACCCTGACAAGGCAGGAGAAGTGGTTTCTTTTGTTTGTTTGTTTGTTTGTTTGTTTTTAAGACATTACCTTTAAATAAAAGGTCTTAGTCGAACTGTTTTGAACCTGGTATACTTTGGGGCAGGAAAAGGCAATTATCCAATTCCTGCCCAGACTCACTGGTGTGGGGGTTGGAGGGAAGTTGCCTGGAATCCAACATCTCCAACTGCCACTCTACAAGCCTTCTCCATTTGAACCCTCAACCCAAATGTCTGGGCTCTCTTTTAATGAGTCATTTTGACCCTTTTACTGGCTCCCACTTTGCTCCGCTGTTCTATGTAACATAACAATTCTTGCCTATGTTACTACATTCTCCTCTCCCAGGTCCAGCCTGTATTCAGCTCAGTTTGTTTCACTTAGGTTATGGCCACACTGTGTCTCTGTCCCAATACTGATTTGGGTTCTCCTTGCCCCAATGTGTGCTGCATTATGTATTCCAAAATGGACAGATGCAGGATGGGGCCCTTCACTGCCTCTCCTTTACCACTCTTTTTATTCTGTCTTCCTTCCCAGTTGTTATTTTATCTTATTCTCTTTCTCCTCTGCTGTTCAAAGCTCCAGGATTATCATATGTGCATATCTCTCTGTTTTTCTGGTCTCTATTCTAGAGGGATTGGACAGATTGTGTCAGTGGGTTGTCATCTTGTCTCTCCCTCAGTGGCCTTCTAAAGACACAATTATGGCACTAGCTATATGGAAATACTTTGCAGGGTTAGGGCAATGTTCTCTAGGTGACCACATATATGCTAAACTGGCATCCAGTGTTGTTTCTCCATTTGCCACTTGTTTCTCCACTGCATGGGTACAGGCACCAAATTGTAGAAATGGGAGTGACATGACTTATTATTACCACTAGCGACCTACACACAAAATTTTTGTTTGCAGTCCCTAGAACCCTATGTTCTATGGGTCTGGAGGTCATCGTTTCAAAAGGAGGAATACTCTCACCTGGAGACACAATATTTAGTCCATTGAAGAGGAAGGTAAGAATGCCACTCATCCATATCATGTTGTTCATGCTTCTGGATCCATAGAAAAATGGATTATATTGGCTGGTGTTATTATTACATTGGCTGGTGTAACTACTCCTGATTGCCAAGTGGAAATTGGATGAATGTCATGCAAAGAAGAATATGACTGGATTACAGGAGATTCCTTAGGATGTCTCTTAGTATTATGCTCTATGATTAAAGCTGATGAAAAATTGTCACAACCCAATTCTAAAATATATTATTAATCTTTATAAGAGCAACTAAAAGGAATTAAGTTTGAAGGCTAAGAAATTTAGAGGGAATTGTGCTTAACTTTTGTTAAAATCTGAATGAATATAATATATATATCATGAATTTTGCTTCTCTACAGAACCCAGCTTAAGACAATGATGTACAGATTAATAAATATTGTTTTAAGTTTGAAATGAACTTACTTAAAATGTCATTAAAGACTCCAGGTTCACCTCTGTTTCACTTTTCTTAACTTTGTAGCCACTCCAACAAATATTTAGAATTGATGGACAAGGATCTGGGTTTGTTTGTTTTTTTTCTCCATGAAGCAATAATTTTATTTGTTTATTTATTTTCATTCTAAACCCTCCATTTTTTGTCCTTCCTAACCCTTTAATAATTCATCCCTTTATCTACTGTATTATTACTGAATATTTTTTCCACTCTATGCAGTCTCTGTTGACTTTTTGGATGAAGTCTTTTGTTGTGCATAAATGTGTGTTTTGTAGGTCCCAGTTCTTTATTTCATATTATGGGTATTTTTCATTTGTTCAGTAGTGTGTTTTAGCCTTGTATTGGAGTCTTTAAGTTTGTCCCTATTTATTCATTGATAGTCTTAACAATTGTGTGATTTATATTTAGGTCTTTGATCTATCTGGAGTTTGTTTCTGTACATGGTGTAAAGAATGGATTAATAACTCTTCATAGTAATTAATTAATTAACCTTCAAAATTGGAATTTTAGTTAAAAAGTAAGACTCAAAATGCCATTAAGTCTATGCAACTCTGCGGGGCAGAGAAACTCTTCAGGGCAGGGGAGAACTGTCCTGTGGGTTTCCAGGATAGTAACTCTTTACTGGTGTAGAAAATCCTGTCTTTCTCCTGAGGAGTAGCTGCAAGAAGATTGCTAATCGAGGGTAAGGATTTAACTATACATACTGGTCATGTAGAGAAGTCTGTACCATGTACTTTATGCTTGGTTCTATACAGACAATTTTATTGAAAGTTGAATTTTGATTAGTTCACACTTATTCCAAGGGTTATGTTTTATTGTTGCTATTTAGAAATTCAAGCAGCTTCTTTCCTGGCGTGCGCATGCTTTAGAAATTGTTCAGGTAATCTACATAGAAGACAAACAAGTGGTACTGACTGCTTCCATCGATGGCTCAGTAAGGTATGGACCTTCACCCTGCGAACGCAGGGTTAAAGTACAAGGAGTAAGGGATTTTAGCTAAAGTTTAGCTATATAGCCTAAATTCTTTTTCATTTTTCCCCCAAAATGGGGGTGGGTAATATTTGTGAAAAAGGCTTTGAGAAGATAGTCAGAGTTTTAGAATTATTTTCTGTGTCCAAAAGTGGTGCCTCCTCATGTAACCCTTATCTCTGTGTTAGAAAAGTTCGTGAGTACATCTAAGAAAAGTGGGCTTTGTAGAGTTATTTAAAAGAATTAAGCGAGAGAGTAAGCCCGGAAAGACAGATTCATGCCCAGGGAAAGCCACAGAAGGGAATATGGGGTCAGAAGTCATAGAAAAAGAATAGGGAAAAAATCTTTTAAAAGGTAAAATTGAACCAAGTATTTCATTGATGATGTGATTGATTCTACAAATTCTACTTGTTTTTAATTACCTAGATTATGCTTAACATGTATGTACAGAATACAAAAAGGCACATACAAAAAAAAGAAATGTCATAACATTTTTTGAGAAAATGCTTATTACATATTATTTCCTAACATTATGGTATAGATCTTATCTTCTAGGTAAAATCAAGAGAAGTGGAAAGATGTATTTGAGAGTTCAAACATAATAAATTTGAAAATAAGCAGTGTTTTATTTTGTTTAAAAGACACTGAACTGGAATGCAATAATCTTTGGTTCTAATATTGGCTCTAGTAATTAATTAGCTGTGTGAGTTTGAAGCTAGAGTTAGGTGAGCCCAGGTCATACATGTTGATTGGGCATTGTGAAAGATATAGATCTTTATCTTGTGAGAAAGCAAGAGAGTTATGAGATCTAATTTACATCTTTAAAAGATAAAGTGTAGGGGAATGGATCACAGAGCCTCAAACGTGGAATCAAGAAAAACAGCTCGAAATCTTTGAAATATAACAGTTCCTGCTAGGCAGTGGCAATAGTGATGAAAATAGGTGGTATGGATTTGAAAGCTATCTAGGAAGCACACGATGTGAATTTTAACTGGAAAGGGGTGATAAGCGATAAGAGTTTTAAGAATGACCACCATATACAACTAGGTTGGTGTCATTCCATTAAGAAAGAAAGCACTAAAAGAGGTAGCATTATAGAGTGTAGAAGAATGGGGGCACACATTTAGGAATGCAGAGTTCAAGATGAGTCTGTGGGGTAGGTCCTCCTGGGGTCAAGCAGAGCTTTTTTCTCTCTTAGAAAGAGAACCTGACTTTTATTTGTAGAAAATATTAAGAACACAAAGTTTCATCTTTAAAAAAATGATTCATGATTTGGTCCCTTTGGTCTCTGCCTTATCTTAGTTTTCACGTCTCTAACAAACAGCAGAAGTATGAACTGGAGAACTAATGGCACTTGTGCACACTAGGGCACACACACGCACATACACTATGTGTGCCGGTACCTTTTGTCATTTACTGTTCAAACCAGTTATTGTTGCTATGTAGAAATTATGATTCCTGCCACTGAAGGATTATCATTTCTTATCTTTATTAATAGCTATCTTAGAACGGAGCTTTCCACAACTAAACTACATCCTTTGCCCAATTAAGATTTAAATCATCACCAAAAACTGGGCCAGTCTGAAGACAAAATTTCAGAGAGGCTTAGTGAGATTCAGCATAACTAAAGACATTGGTGGCATAATGGGTTAAATGTTGGGCTAGTAGCCCCAAACCAGCCACCCCACAAGAGAATGCTAAGGCTATCTACTCCCATCAAAAGTTAAAGTCTCAGAAACTCACAGGGGAAGTTCTACCCTGTCCTACAGGATCACTATAAGTTGGAACTAATCTGATGGTAAAGAGTTTTGAGTAGCCCCAAGGTTGGTAGTTCAAACTCACCAGCCACTCTTCAGGAAAAAGATGAGGCTGTTTGCTCCCATAAATATTTATAGTCTTGGAAAATCTAAGCCCTTCGACCTTGTCCTACAGGGTCACTATGAATTGGTATTTTGTTGTTGTTGTTCTTTGAGATCCAGAGGTGGAGAGCAGGAAATGAGTCAGAAAGGCAGGGTTCCACATGGAATAGTAAGCCCTGCAAAACAAGATCAGACGTTTCTTCAGTTCATATCTGAAGCCAGACCAGAGTAACGCATATTGAATTGTTTTAGTTAGTGTCTTACCCCTCTAACTCTTGGAATCTCTAATGTCTAAAGTGTTGGTTCATTTTACTATGTAAAGACACCAGGAAGAGGATTATAACATGCCATGGCAGTGGACAGTGTAAGATATGAAAAATAATAATAACTTATCATTCATCAAGGGGTCATGGGGTGAGGGAGTGAAAATGTGGAGCTCATACCAAGGGCTCAAGTAGAAATAAAATGTTTGAAAATGATTAAGGCATCATGTGTACAAATGTGCTACAGATAATTAATGTATAGATTGTTATAAGAGCTGTAAGAGCCTCCAATAAAATTATTTATTAAAAATATATGTCAAGGATAAAACACGTTCATATTAATTGCCTAGGACATTATGACGTGTACTAATGATACTCTTTTTGTTTTAAACTATTTGGGCATTTCAAAAATATGTCTTTGAGCAACTTGCTGATGAGTAATGCATATAGATTTGCATTATTTTACCATTCTATTTCAGAACTCAATGGTATAAATTATGGTATTTTCACAATACTAAGAGTTGAGGATCAAGACTGGGCATTGTTTGCTAATAGTAAAGGCATCACCATGTGTCTGCTATAAGCTCTAGTGATGCTGAAACAGAAAGTGAACCCATTCCAAAGCTTAATTCAATTTCTAAGCTGTCAGGTGGGTTCTAATTAGCTTAAATGGCCAGTATTGTCCAGGAAAATATGTTCTTGTTTCTTCATTTTGACAAATGAATATTAGATGTATAGATTCAAACACTAACATTTCCCAAGTGGTTTGGACTATTAAAGTTCTAAGTAATGAAAATGCTTCTAGTAATTAAGCCCACAGCACTTAATTAGAAAAGCCCTGGACTTATGTTTGATGCCCCTGATAGACCAGTTAAAACTTACATAAAGTGATTCAATGAACAAAATAACTTTCACTGAATTCCTCAATGACTTTCTTTTCTCTACCTTTGTCTTCCCTTAGGCTCTGGCAGGCCCTCAATGGTCATTACTGTGGATACTTTGGACAGCGAAGGATATTTGATTTAGCACATGCAACTGATTTCATTTTACCTTGTGATGTTAATGAATATCCCATAGAAATTAAAGAAGAAAGTAAGTTCATAGAGAAGAAGCAAAAATATGAATATCCTCTGATATTTGACCGGGCAAGGTAAGACCATTGGCCTCTATGTATATGGCCAGACAAGAATTAAACTATATTGATACTGTGACACTGTACTGGGCATGGGGAATTGAATTATTTAAAGTCTATTGGAAGGGAGAACTACCCAGACTATAATTCACTATAGTAATGCTGCTGAGAATATTTAATTTTTTGGATAATCACAGAAAGAGGAATAGCATTTCTTCAAAGGAAGAAAACCAAAGAGGCTATTGTCTAAGCATAGACTATGGATACATGAAAGACCGTGAATACTGCATACATTATTTTGAGGCTTGGGCTTCAGTGGGGAGGATATGATTGGAATAATAGCAAGAGAATCTTAGAGGAGTCATCATAATGGAATTTTTATGTACCAACAAAATAATTTAAAATTTTATAGGATTCATTATGGCAGGATTCACAAAAGTAAAAAATAGGTCTGAAGAAAAATATCATTAATTTGGTGTTGGACAGAGTCTGAGGTGTGAGGACAACAAAATGAAGGTATTTAATGAGCCCTGAAATGTATCTGTTAGAAGCTTCAAAAAGAGGTCAGAGCTATAGATAAAAAATTTGAAGTCATCAGCATGGTATCTTTTCACTGAAATAAGTCACTCTGATCATATGTATAAAATAAGAAAAACAGAAAACTAAGGAATTCTGGAGTCACCAGGATAGTATATTTTCACTTAAATGTGTATAAAGTAAGAAAGGCAGAAAACTCAGGAAGATGTGAAGAAGCAATATTCTTGCAAGATCTGGTCAAGGAAGAGAAAAGCAGTGTAAAAGATTGACAAAGAAGAACCAGGTTGTTGGAAAGAATACCTGGAAAGGGTGACACGATGTAAATCAAGAGAAAAGAAAGTGTCAATAGAATGGTAGCAAGGAGGAGGACCTAATGTCTGGGGTTTAAGTGGAGAGAAAATGTTTTGAGAAACGATGTACAAATGCGCTTTACACAATTGATGTGTGTATGGATTGGGATAACAGTTGTATGAGCTAATAAAATGTTAAAAAAGGAAAAAAAAAGAATGGTAGCAAGGAAACAAGGTAGAGAGGTCACATACGATAATAAAAATTAAACATTAGATATGGCACATTTATTAGCTGAAAAGTTAGGAAGATACAGAAAACGCATTTTCAAGGGTTCCTGTTGGGCCATGTGGTAAGAATGAAGTTCCCTACTCAGAGAGCATGCCTTTCTTTCCCAGTAAGCCAGCTGATTCAGTTCCTGGGCTTTCCCAATTGGACTGCCACACAAATTACAGACACTCAGCCTTCACACAGCTCTCAATAAATGCTTTCTCTCATAGACCCTCAGAGATATGCATATCCCATCCCATGATGACAAATATAGCAAGGCTGAAGAATTAATTTTATTTATTTATTTTATGTTCTCATGTTCTTTCTTTTTTTCTCAATCATTTTATTGGGGCTCTTACAGGTCTAATCACCATCCATCCATTATGTCAAGCACATTTGTACATAGGTTGCCATCATCATTTTCAAAACATTTTCTTTCTAATTGAGCCCTTGGTATCAGCTCATTTTCTCCCTCCCCTGCCCTTTTTCCCTCATGAACCTTTGATAATGTATACATTACTAATTTTATATTTATGTACAGAAAACCAGCCATGTGCACTAGCCAGCTTGGTGGCAAATTCCATGGTCTTGACCATTTCCAGCAAACCACTGGTCATGCAAACCACTGATTTGGGACCCAGAATTTTGCTGCCTCAGCATTGACAGACTTCATCATAGCTGTCATTGCAGTTGGTCCTGATGGCTTTCACCAAGTTAAACAGAGCTCCTTTGTCTTCCAAGTTCACCTATGTGAAGGTGAAAGTGGGACAGGTCTTTGCGATTTCAGCCAGGCCGGCCCATTTTATGACATAAGGATAGCAGGAAGACACCAGCTTGACAGGGTCCACATCGTGCAGTTACCACCGGCTGAAACTTCTTGGTCTTCACCAGTGTGGTGACAGTATTGATTGACCCTGGCTGCAGGATGGGCAGTCTCTTGGTAGGACATTCCCATTGCCAGCAGCTTTAATCTCTGCCTGGGCCAGCAATTTCTGCTTCTTTCCTTGCTTTGTCTCTGGCCTATACCTATGGGCGATCCAGGGCCTGAGCGAACTGGTTGATGGAAGGGGGCACTTGAAGCCTCTTGTAGAGGATTGCCTGCTGTTGCAGCCAGATATAGTGGGCCCACCTGACATAGCAAGTGAGATCCCTCGTGGGCTGGATGACGTGCCCAAATGCCAACGTTCTTGGGCCTCTTCAAACAGGATATTCACCACCTTATTGGCCTTCGACTTCTTAATGGCTATGGACCCAGGGGCCACCTTCTTAATCTTGGTCTTTTCTTTCAGTATCTTGGCTGGCTAGATGAGAGCTAGATCATTTTTAAGGAAGATAGACAGCTCTAGTGTTTAAAAGGTGTTTGTCCATTTCGTGGGTTTGCTTGTTTGTCAAGGGAAAGGTGATCATGAGTAGGGGGCTAAATCATGAGCTGCTAACAAGGTCAGTGGTTTGGACCCACCAGCTGCTCTGCAAGCGAACGATGATGCTTTCTGCTCCTTTAAAAAGGTAAAGTCTCAGAAATCCAAAGGAGCAGTTCTACTCTGTCTCAAGGGGTCCTGCTATGAGCCACAATCAACTCGATGGCAGTGCGTTTGGGGTAATATTTAACACAATGCATTCTAATGTATTCAGTTATGAGGATTGAAGTTATCAAAGATTTCATCTTGCCTGGATCCACAGCCAATGCTCATGGAAGCACAAGAGACCAAATCTGCTGCCCAAGACCATTATTCTGAGTAAGGTGTGCTTCACCCACGCCATGGCATTGTGAGTCACTTCACATGCATGCTAACATTGGACACTGAATAAGGAAGACCAACAAAGAGTCCATACATTTGAGTTATGGTGCTGGTGAAGAATATTGAAACTTTCATGGCCTGCCAAAACAACAAACAAATCTGTCTTGGGAGAGGTACAGCCAGAGTGCTCCTTAGAAGTGAAGCTCCTTAGACTTTGTCTCACAGATTTCTGGCATTTTATCAGGAGAGATCAGCCCCTGGAAAAGGATTGTCCTGTTTGGTAAAGTGAAAGACATCAGGAAGACCCCGAGATGGACTGATGCTGTGCTGCAGCAGTGGGTTCAAGCATGACAACAATGTTGAGGATGGCACAGACCTGGGTAGTGTTTTGTCATACATAGGGTGGACATGCATCAGCACCAACTTGACTGTACCTAACAGGTACAACAACAGATATACTGAGCCTCATAAAAGGAATAGATGGGTTTTGTAACAGATTTTGCCCTAATAGCTAGTAATGAATTTAATTAACTACATGGAATGTTCAGACTCATTAGAAATGTCTTCGGTAGAGGAATGTCAAGGAAGCCAGATGGAATATGAATTAAGTATAGAGGAAGTGTGCTTCTAACTGCTGCCAAAGGAGGCAGGGAATTTGAGAATGAGAGGACAAATGAATATTTGGTTAGTAGAATAAAAGTAGAACATATCATTAATATTTTCTTATATATTTATATGCAGATGGAGAAAAATGAGCTCAATGTCTTTGCTTTTCAAACGTACACCTCCCAAGGCCTTTGAGGTGGAACAGGATTTTAAGTTTTTCAAGTCTCTTTCCTCACCCAAGGTATCTTAAACCAACAAAACTCACTTTGCTTTGCTTTCCTGGAATTTCAATATACCCAGTAATCCCGCATGTTTGTTCTTCACCACCGCTCTAGCAAATCATCACAAACTTAGTGGTTTAAACAATATAAGTTAACGTTCACCTACCTCACAAGAAAAAGTAATATTTGTGTGTTTATATTGAGTTATGTAAATTATCTTGTAATTCTGATGGTGTCATACATTGGGCTGCTAACTGCAAGATCAGTTCAAAACCACTAGTTGCCCCTCGGGAGGAAGGCAGGGGCTTTCTACTCCCATAAAGAGTTACAGTCTTGGAAATTCACAGGCATAGTTCTAGCCTGTTCTAAAAGGTCGCAATGAGTCAGCATCGATTCAATAGCATTACGTTTTTAAGTTTATGGTTCTGAAGATCCTGAGTTCAATACATCTCGTGGGTCTCAAACTACTGCCAGCATTGCTGTATTCCTTTGTTAGTTGTATGTGGTATACGGCGACAAGTAGGAAGGACTTGGATAGATGAAAATGGACTTGGGATTGTTGTGGTTAGATGCCATCATGGTGCTATGACTCATAGCGACACTATGTACAAGAAAATGAAATACGGACGGGTCCTGCACCATACTCACAGTCCTTGTTATGCTTGAGTCTTGTGGCAGCCACCGAGTCTTGTTAGGGATCTTCCTCTTTTTCTGGCATGATATTCAAGGGACCACGGACTGGTCCCTCCTGGTAGCATGTTTAAAGTAAGTGAAATTGCGTCTAACCCCTTTGCTTATATGGCTATATTATTCTTTCAAGAGAGATTTATCCATTCTTTGGTAATCTGCCATATGCTCACTATTCTTTGCCAATTCAAAGGTATCAATTCTTTTCTGGTCTTTTTTATTCCTAGTCTGACTGTTGCATGCATATGAGACAACGGAAAATATCATGGCTTGGGTCAGGTCCACCTTAGTCCTGAAAGCAACATCTTTGCTCACTAACACTTTAAAGAGGTGTTTTGTGGCAGATATGTCCAATGCACTGTGTTGTTTGATTCCTTGATTACTAATCCCATCATCGTTGATTGTGGTTCCAAGAAAAATGACATTGTTGACAATCTCAAACTTGTTTCCATTTATCATGATGCTGCTTATTGGTCCAGTTGTGAAGATTTTTGTTTTCTCTTATGGAGGTGTGATCCATATTGAAATCTGTAGCCTTTCACCTTCATCAGTATGTGTTTCAAGTCCGCTTCTTTTTGTCATGCAAGGTTGTGTTGTTGCATGTTATAGATTGCTAATGATATGTTCTTCGTGTTCTTTATACAGTCCAGCTTCTTGGATTATTTAATCAACATACATATTGAGCAAGTTTAGTGAAAGGTAACTATCAACACATATTTCTTTATTTTTAGACCATGCAATAAACCCCTGTTCTGCTCAAATGACTACCATCTCCTCTATGTTCAGGTTCCATGTGAGCCTAATTAAGTGCTTGGAAATTCCCATTCTGTGTAATGTTATCCATAGTTTGCCATGATCCTTTACATGGGAAATACACAAGTAAACAGGGAAACCTGCATCTGGCTTGCCTCTACCTGACCTCTAGTTTTGGGGGGTTGAGTTGTGGCATATCACCTGACCTGATTTCACCTGCTGCCATGGGTTTTCTGGCCTGGTGACAGACAGCATGAACTCTAAAGTGCTTCCACAGCCCTGTGGGTGAGGAGGATCCTCCAAACAGATGTCTGAACTTTGAATTTGGGTCTGCCCTGCACTCAAAACCACAATACAAGATTCCTGATGGCAGATCAATCAAGTATCACTCACTGCAATATCCTCAGCTCTAGTTTCATGTTGGAGACAAATGAAGGCAGCTGTCATGTAGGAAGCTGCTCTGTGCAGAGACTATGTAGTAAAGCATCAAGGGAAGCTTGTAGGGATACAGGTTGAACAAGTAAGGTGAGAGGATACAACCCTGACACCCATGTTCTTGTTTTTAATTCTTGCGTTTTTCCTTTTTTTTGTTCTCACAACTTCCTTAATCCATGTACAAGTTCCACATAAGCACAAGGAAGGGTTCTGGAATTCCCATTCTTCTCAAGACTAGCCATAGTTTATTATGATCCACACAGTCAAAAGCCTTGGTGTAGAAAATAAAAGAAAATTAAACAATTTTCTGATATCCTCTTCAGTAATGAAATACCTTGTTTCACATCCTCTTCTAAACCTGACCTGGATCTCTGGCAGCTCCTTGTTAACGTACTGCTGCAACCTTTATTGGATGATCTTCCGCAAAATTTTACTTGCATATGATATTAATGCTATTGTTCTATAATTTGATCATTCTGTTGGGTCACCTTTCTTTGGAGTGGGTACAAATATGGATCTCTTCTGGTCAGTTGACCAAGGAGCTCTCTTCCAAATTTCCTGGCATAGATGAGTAAGTGCTTTTATTGCTTCATCAGCTTGTTGAAGTGTTTCAGTTGGTGATCACCAATACCTGGACCCTTGTTTTTAGCTAATGCTTTCAGTGTAACTGGAACTTCTTCCTTAAGCACCGTTGGCTCTTGCTCATATGCTACCTCTTGACATCGTGAAATGTTAACAAGTTCTTTTTGGTACAGTGACTCTTTGTATTCTTTCCATTTTCTTTTGATGCTTCCTGTATCATTCAATATTTTACCCATAGAATTTTTCAATATTGCAAATAGGGCTCAAATTTTTCTTGAGTTCTCTCAGTTTAAGACATGCTAAACATGATCTTCATTTTTAGTTTTCTAACTATAGGGCTGTGCACATTTCATTATAATATTTTACTTTGTCCTCTCAGGTTGTCCTTTGAAATTTTCTATTTGGCTCTTTGACTTTATCATTTCTCCCATTTGCCTTAGCTATGAGGGGGTACCCCTCACCCACCCCCCCAAATGGATTTTTTTCAAAGCTATGTATTTAAATTTTTTTACATAGGAAAAAAAAATTTTTGACAAAGTAACTTTATCACCTTCAAAGAACTCTCCATTTCACTTATACATTTGCCAAATCTGCGATTCCATTTGTGGAAACATTTTTCAAACTCATCTGTTTGGATGGCTGACAGCACCTCCCCCATTTTTTCTTCACCTCTTCTGCATTGTTAAACTGCTGTCCTTTCATGTCCCTCTTCCTTTGCAGAAACAAAAAGTTGCATGGAGCTAGGTCAGGAGTAAGGTGCATGGGGCAAGAGAGGAATGCTGGTTTTTGCCAAAAGCTGGTGCACTGAGATGACTGCATAAGCAAGTGCATTGTCATGGTGGCAAAACCAGTCCCCATCTGCCACAAATCAGTCTTTTTTGTTGTTGCATACTATTACACAATCTTTCCAGAAGCTCTAAATAGAAAGCTTGATTAACAGTCTGAGCAGGTGGGACGAACTCCAAATACACTATCTCCTTCACATAAAAAAAAAAAAGTGCATCGTCTTTATCTTTAATTTCAATTGACGAGGTTTTGGGGAGTGATGTGAGGATGGAGTCTTCCACTTGCTTGATTGATGTTTGCTTTTGGCGGTTGTAAGAATAGCACTACGTCTCATCACCAGTAATGACCTTGGGGAAAAAAGTCTGGGTTGTTTCGAATCTGTTTTGTCAAAGCATGGCATATTTCCACTCTTTTTACTGGTGAGTCAGAACCTGAGGCACAGATTTCACAGCAAAGCAACCCTTCTCATTCCCAAATCTTCCATTAAAATTCACTGTACTGAGCTCCAAGATAATCCAGAAAACTTCCCCATTTCTTCAGTGGTCCATTGTCAGTTTTTGAGCACAAGTGCACAAATTTTGTTGACATTTTCATCTGTTGGGGAAGTTGACAGACATTCAGAAAGAGGTTTGTCATCAATCAACATTTCACCTTTTTTGAAACAAGAAAACCACTTGTACACTTGAGGTTTTTTTCCCCATAGCATTATCCCTGCAAGCTGTGTTCAACATCACAACAGTTTCTGAGGCAGTTTTCCTGAGCAGGAAACAAAATTTCATAGGCACATGTTCTCTTAAATCAGCCATCACAAAAATTGACGTTCAAGTGAAACTGCTATTATGAAAAAATTCACTGTGACCAGAGAGAAACTTCCCAGGTGACGCCACTGGGTGCACTAAATGCAGCAAGTTGTTGACTGCTACAGCTCCATTTTTTGTTTGTTTTGTTTTGTAGGGGTTACCCTCTCATATTCTATGATTAAGAGCAAGTTTCAGAGTCTCTTGTAAACCCACTTTTATCTTTTCTTTCTTTCTTTTCTTTTTAATGCCCTTTTGTTTTCTTCATAAATGATTTTTCTTGTCCTGCCACACCTCCTCAGTTCTTCGGTTATTAATGTTCAAGGCAACAAATTGGTTCGTGAGATGTTCTTGAAATTCTAGTGAGATAGACTCAAGGTAATATTTTGACTGGGGGAGGACTTGTTTTAATTTTGTTCAACCTGAATTTACGTATGAGCAATTGATGGTCTATTCCACATCAGCTCCTGGCCTGATTTTAGCTGCTGATATTGAGCTTCTGAATGAGCGCTTCCCTCAGATGTAGTCAATTTGATTTCTGTGTGTTTCATTTTAAGAATTCCATATGTATATTCATCGTTTGTGTTGTTGTTGAAAAAAGGTATTTGCTATAAGCAAATCATTAGTCTTGCATAATTCTATCACGGGATCTCCAACCTCATTTCTATCACCAAGACCATATTTCCAACTACTGTTCCTTTCTCTTTATTTCATACTTTTTCATCCCAATCACCAATAATTATCAATACATCTTGATTGCATGTTTGATCAATTTCAGAATAAAGACAGTGTTAGAACTCTTCATCAATTCAATTCAATTCAATTCAATGTCTGCATCACTAGCTTTGGTGTTTAGTGCATAAATTTGAATCATGCTTATATTGATTGGATTTCCTTGAAGGCAGATATATAATACTATTGCAGACAGCTTTGGTGTATAAGTTTGAATAAAACTTGTATTGATTATATTTCCTTGAAGGCAGAAAAATATTATCCTATCACAAGTAGCATTGTACTTCAAGATAGACCTTGAATGGCCTTTTGGACAATGAATGCAATCATTTCTCTTAATTGTGTCATTCCTGGCATAGTAAACCATATGATTTTTTTTTTAATTCTAAATATCCAATACCAGTCCATTTCAACTCACCAACACCTGCGATATTGATCTGTATGCATTCACTTTCATTTTTGATGACTTGCAATCTTCCTAGATTCGTACTTCGTACACATTCCAAGCTCCATGTATTAATTAATGTTTGCAGCTGTTTCTTCACATTTTGAGTTGTGCTCCATCAGCAAATGAAAATCCTGGGGGTTTTACTCCCACCCGCTTTCTTCCATTCATGTCACCATGGTTGACCTTGAGAAATCAACTTTCTTCCATTCATGTCACTCTACTTTGAGAAGGTGGATCCTTCTCAGTCATATTTCTAGTGTCTTCCATCCCAAGGGGCACAACCTCTGGCACTCTCTGACAATGTTCTGTTTCTATTCATTAGGCCTTCAGTATCTGACAATGTTTTTGGTGTCATGCATAAGGTTTTCAGCAGCTCCTTCCTCTAAGTTGGCAATTACTTCTTTTTCATCTGTTCCTACTCTTTTCTTGCATGGAAGCTCCACTGACACCTGTTCACTCTGGCTGATGGTGCTGAAATTTGAGCTACCAGTAACTTAACTTCCAGCAACACACAAGACACCATAGTACAACAAACTGACAGACAAGTGGTGGAAAACAGGGGGAAGAAGCAAGTAAAAGCAGGCCAACAATAGCAAGAAAAAATAATGCAAAGAAAACAAAAAGGCATCTCAGCTGGGTCAGTAAGGGATTGAAGTTAGTGTGCTTTTTTCAGGAAGGAACTCTTTCTGGACTAATGGGCTACTGAGGGCAAGGTGGGTGGTTATAGAAGGATTTCTTGCTCATCTAGGAGCGACCAAAACAGTCCATAGTTCATGTGCCTCCATATTTGGAGGTAGTGCACCCAACATCTGATCATAAGGTTTTGGCTCTCACCACAGGTGTGATGGAGGTAGTCACTGACAGCTGGGTGGGTGAGGGTTAGAGCTTATTGTCTTGAAGGTATGGGATACAAGGGAGGATCCCACCTTTCTTATCACCAGCCACTGGTTTGCACTTGTGCTATCTGGCTAATGTCTTGAGTGAATAGTGCTTCCTAAAGTTCAAGATGGTATCACTGCTTCGGACCAACAAAATGTTCACCACTCTGCCTCTTCTCTCAATGATTTTCTTTCATCTGTTTCTCCTAATTTATATTAAGTGCTTTTCTCTAACTTTTCCTCTAAAACTCAGGGTTCCAGGATTATCATCCATATCTGTTTCAATTGATCTCTTGTGTCTTTATTGTAGAGGGCCTGCATAGTCTGCTATCTTGCCTGAAGTCTTCCCCATGTTCGTATTATTAAGTTTGCAGCTTTTACTTCTCATTTTGAGTTGTGCCACATCAGCAAAAGATCTCAAAATATTTGCTCCATGTATGTCACTAAGGTAGAGTTAACTTTGGGGACGCAGATTTTCCTCAATAATTTTGAGTTCCTTCCAACCTGACGGGTTCATCTTTGGCATTATATTAAATGTGTTCCAAAGCTATTCGTAAGGTTTTCAGTAGCTAATTTTTCAAAAGTGTTCTTCATTCTTCTTAGTTTTAATCTGGAAGCTTCACCATAACCTTTTCACCATTGGTGATTCTGAAGGTATTTGATATACCAGTGACATAACTTCCAGCATCACACCAACACGCAATCCATCACTGTACTACACACTGACCATAAGGATTATAGGCTTGGAAATCATATAGAGGAAATTCTAGTCTTCTATAGGGTAACTGTAACTTGAAATGAATTTATTGACAATATCTTTGTTTTTAAACAATTGAATGTACAATATTATAAGGTTTTACTAATTACTACAATTTTTATGTTTGAAATTTATTCGTTAAATAAGTTTAATACTGAAGTAGTCAGTGAAGGGGCCCTGGTGACATGGTAGGTTCAACATGGAACTGCTAACCACATCAGTGGTTTGAAGCTATCAATAACTTCCCAGAAGAAAGACCAAGCTGTGTGCTCCGGTAAAGATTTAGTCTCAGAAACCAAAAGAAGTAGTTCTACTCTGTCCTATATGTGACTCTGAGTCAAAATCGACTTGATGGCAGTGGTAGTGGGAATCAGTCAGTGGAGAAAGTAAACTGCCTGAGCCCATGCAGCTAATACAGGGTGGAGGCAGAATTTGATCTACTAAGGAATGTGCCCTTTTCACTGAGCCTGTTCTCTCTTCTGTTTTGCAGATTAGAAAATACACCTTGGAAGGTTTCATGACTGAAAACAAAGAAGCAGGGATTGTGTTTGGTTCTCTGCCTATATATAGGGTGAGTTGGAGGTTTCTGGGGGTTAAAGTAGTCATCTTATTCCTGATCTTGAACTCTCAAGAAAGGTTGGAGAAAATCATAAAACCAACCAGAATTATTCTTTCATAAATGTATCTATGGGTGGCAGTGATCTTGATCATGTAGATGTTTGCAACATTACTCTTGATCTTCATTCCCTATAGGATAAAACTCAGATTATTTAGCCTGGCATAAAATCTTTTATCATCTGACTTTTGCCTAAGCCATATGACATAATTTCCCACCATTCTTTCTCCATATAACCTATATTTTAGCCATACCAACTTGCCATTCTTGGACATCATTGGTCTCTCACCTATGTGATATTTCCTAGGCTGCCTTTCTGCCAAAAACTTACCCATGCCTTGTTGCCCAGCAAATCCCTATCATCATTCAAGTGTCAACACTAGGCAACTTCTGTTGAATTAATTAACTAATTATTTCACCAAATAAATAATAAATCATCAGATATAACATTTAACGTACTTTTTACTTGTTATATCTTCTTTTCATGTCAATTTTAAGGGTTTTTTACATATAATTCAGGGTCTTAAAAATATTAGAAAGTTGTGCGTTCATAACTACAATCAATTTCCCCCCAATATTTTTATAGAGATGTAATTCACATATCATACACTTCCACAGTTCAGTTGCATTTAAAAAGAGTTGTATATACATCAGCACAATTAGTTCCAGTGTATCCTCTTCTCCCCAATTCCCCTCAACCTCCCTGTCCCATCCCCAAGAATCTATTACATCAATTGTCTCTATACATCCATCCTTGCCATGCTTCATAAACTGGGAAACATACCAGAGAGAGAAAAAGAACAAAAACAATAAATAAATAAATATTTTATACACACACACACACACACACACACTCACAAGCCATATAATGAGCCATAAAGCAATCCACTGTTGAGAAACAAGCAAAAAATATTTAAACCTAGAATGAACCCAGAATGGGTCACGAGAGAGATCAAATGACCAGGTATCATATTATAATGTAGTTTCATCCACCATAATCAAGTTTACAATAATCTCTGTCTGATAGCAAACCTATTCAAGTCCTTCAACTGTGGTCAGAGGGGTTTGCCAGAAACCTAATCCACATAGGTAATCTGTAGATGGATTTTGGGCTCTCACTGTCCTCCATAGCCTTCAATAAATTGGGTGTTCACAATTTGAGCTCTTTCTCTCCGTCATAGTTGGATTTTGTTATTTGTCATATTTGGATCATACAGGCTGGTGTGCTTCTTCCATGTGGGCTTAGTTGATGACTCACTTAGATGGCTACTTGGTTGGATACAAGCCTTTAAGACCCTAGGTGATATTATTTTTGATAGTTGGGTACCATCTGTTTTCTTCACCATAATTTGCTGTAGCACCTGTATCTTCGGTGATCTCCTTATGAAAATAAATATCTGGCATCATAATCTATTTTTGAACATTTTCTTCATTCTTATATCCATTATTATTAGCTCCCACCCCCCTCAAAGTCTCCTGTCACAACTGTAAGAAATTATTAATCTAGTTACTGTTGCTAGAGATTTACCTATTGTGCATCTCATATAAAGAAAATCATTTAGAAAACAAACCCAGCACCAACAAAATAAGACTAAAAAAATCCAAAAATGTAGCAGAAAGTAATAATATAATAAAGTAGAGCGATTTAAAAATGAGTCAAAGGGGGAAATGGCAAAATGTTATATTACAAGATAACTATTTCACCAATAACCTTCTTTGTCTGAGAACAAGGCTAGTAACGACCTTGATGAATGGGACTAGAGAATTCAATGGATGCTTAGTCTATGTGGGGCTGTGTATGTTACCTTTAGGCTTTCACTCCCATCCATAGACTCATACCATATATATCTATATATAGACTATATGTACTGAATACACATATTACTATATGTACTGAATATATACATATATATTGTGAATATGTGAGTAGATACACACACGAGAGGATACCCCACAAAAAAACACCCCACAAAAGCTTCACTTGGCATAACTTTTGTAGTATGCGTTTTCCCTGCTAGGCATGCATCCAGCAACGTACTCTGAGTTAGTTGCACCCAGTAGTGGTGTCACAGGGGAAGGTTCTCTCTCATCACAGTGAATATTTTTATAAAAGGAGTTTCACTTGAACCACATCTTTGGGGATGGCTGATTTAAGAGAACATCAGGAGGCTGTGGATTTTTGTTTTAAAAGATAAAATGTAGTAGACCAAGGACATATATGTTTAGTGATTGCTTCATGAGGGCATGTATCCAGCAGGGCCACATTGTAAGAAGTAATTGTTCTTTGATTAGAGTATTCGATTAAGTGTGAGTCCAAGATACACAGCTATATCAATGGCTATATCTGTGATATGAAAATAGCGTAATATATATGCCCTGGTCCACTTTAGTGACAGTATTATCAGTTTCTTGAGAAATAATATAAATAAGTTCAATGGGATATTGAGTAATTCTAGTAACGACGTTAATTTAGCTAACAGTGTAGAATTTAAAGTACGATTGAGATAGGGAAAATATACATAATAGGAAAGCTTTCCAGATAAAATACATGAATTGTTAAATTGTATAGATTAGAAACCTGAGTGACTGACAGCTGTTTAAGAAAACAGGGAAGGTTGGACATGAGGCAAAAAAATGAGTAACAGTCGCCCCTGTGGAGGTAGTTTGAGTAACTTGCTCACTGCCAGCTCTATTGCTCCCTGGCCTGTGCCCCTGCCGCCCAGCCATGCTCTACGCCCAGCTTCAGCACCTCTGCCCAGAACCATGCTAATGAAGGAGCCCAGCTCACTTCTCTTGAAGAACAGCCTCTGGTGAGCTGCCTGACCGTCAACGATATTGCTCAGACCCCTGGAGTAGCCGCTGACCTAAGCCACATCGAGATGAAAGCCCATGTGAAAGGAAGGGTACCTTAGACCCAGGCAGGTACCCAACTGCTTGAAAGGCTGTGATGTGGTGATCCTCCCAGCGGGATGACCTGTTCAACCAACGCCACGATCGTGGCCACCCTGGCGGCCACCTGTGCCCAGCATGGCCCCGAAGTCATGATCTGCATCATGGCCAATGCGGTCAACTCCACCATCCCCATCACCGTGGAGGTGTTCAAGAAGCACGGCGTGGACAACCCCAAGAAAATCTTGGCCGTGACCACCCAGAATGTCATCAGGGCCAACGCTTTCGTGGCAGAGCTGAAGGGTTTGGACCCGGCTCCAGTCAACTTCCCCATCATTGGCGGCTATGGAGGGAAGCGCATCCTCCCCGTGATCTCCCAGCGGACGCCCAAGGTGGACTTCCCCCTGGATCAGCCGACGGCCCTCACGGGGCGCATCCAGGATGCTGGCACGGAGGTGGTCCAGGCGAAAGCAGGGGCAGGCTCTGCCACCTTGTCCATGGCCTACACGGGCACCCGCTTCGTCTTCTCCATCGTGGACATGTTGAACAGCAAGAAGGGAATCATCGAGTGCTCCTTTGTGAAGTCCCCGGAGACAGACTGCACCTACTTCTCCACGCTGTTTCTACTGGGGAAACGGGTTGAAGAACCTGGGTATCGGCCACGAGAAGATGATCGCTGAAGCCATCCCCGAGCTGAAAGCCTCCATCACGAAGGGGGAGGAGTTTGTGAAGAGCATGAAGTAAGACACCCTGCCAGGCACCTTGTCACTGTAAAGTCATTTCAGAGATCTTCATTGTTTTTCCAATTTGTCCTGATGATGTTTGTTGTATGAGCGTTACCATCCCTTCCAAGTTGGAGCATCAATAAAAGCTATTTTGATTTTTTAAAAATTGAGTAACAGTCTTTAATGAAGACAAAGCCATGTCTGCAGGATCAAAGCATAGGGAGTATGAAAATAACAAATATATGGTAGTCTAAAATTGCCAATTAATGTGCATGCTCAAAAGCAAGAGATATGAATCAAACTCCAATGACTTCCAATCCATGCCCTTAAGGTAGCAGTCATGTGCTTCTCACAGGGGTGTTTCAGCCTTAAGACCAATGGAGTATCTCGGTTCCTTTGATCTGCAACAGGTGTATTTAAGGTAATGTCCAATTCACTGACTTGGATTCTCCTATTGGAGGTGTGTGTAAGTAAAGTGAAGCATTTTTCCCAATAGCAGGATGGCCCACCTTGTTTATCCACCAACAGAAGTAAAATCACCTTCTCAGAGACAGACATATCCCCACCCTCCATCTTGAATTGTCATTGAAATTCACTGAACACCATTGTACAAATGTCTATTATTTGGGGTGATTATGTGACCATGCAATATAGCAAGAACTATTTATTTGGTCTTCTCCACTCCCCCCTAAATGGAAAACTGACCCCAGCTTATGTGAGGCTTCTTCTGAAGAAGTGGTTTTCAGTGGGGCAAACCAAAAAAGGAACATAACAAATGAGCACTGGGGGCAAAGCAAAGCCACAAAGCCCCTGAGGAACCCAAAAATAGACTTCAGGCTAAGAAGGGCAGTTCCCAGAACCCCCCAGGACTGGTGGGGAGATAGTTTCCTTATTTTTCTTTTTGTATTCAATCTTTAGTTTTCTTTTTGTTTGTCTCCGTTATTGTTGTTTGGCCTACCTATATAAGGTGGGAATGGGAAGCAAGCCCACGGGAGGGCAATGGATCGACTGTTCCAGAGGGGAACTGCTGGGGGGAAGAGGAGGTGGGGAGAGGCAGCAGTGAGCAGATAACGCTATAGACAGGGGAACAACTAGAAAATTAGAATCAACAATGAGGAGGCCGTAGAGATCCCGGTGGTGTTGGAGTAACAGTCATCTAGTTGAGAGGAATCTTTAAGAGGCAGAAGATGGGCGAGTGTGGTGCTGGGACAGGAGGAAAGTAAAAGGAAACAGGACAGGTCTGGGAAGCAAAGCTATGGATAAAAGTATAAACATAGGTGGGTACATATGTAAATATATTCATTCATAAAAATAGAGGTATTGGCCTATGTACATCTATGTATATGGAAAGACGTTGAGTAAGTGGATGGATTTTGGGTCTCTGCTCAAGCCCTCCCTCAAAACAAGAACACTTTGTTGTAACAACCTGACATTCTATGCTGCTCACCCAACACAATTGCTGAAGACAAAATGGGTGCATCAGCAAATGTGATGGAGAAAGTTGATGGTGCCCAGCTATCAAAAGATATAGCATCTGGAGTCTTAAAGGCTTGAAGTTAAACAAACGGCCATCTAGCAGAGAAGCAACAAGCCCATGTGGAAGAAGTACACCAATTTGTGCAATCATGTGGTGTCAACAAAAGCTGGTAACAAGCATCAGGAGACCCAAAACAAAACAAACAAAAAAACATATTGTTGAGAATGAGGGGGATCAGAGAAGATACCCAAAACCCACCTGTAGACAGAATCCCCTAACAGAAGGATCACAAGGAAAGGATGAGTCAACTAGACTGAGCACAGTATAGCACTGATGAAACACACACTATTCCTCTGTTTTTTTGAGTCTTCCTCACCCTCCGCTATCATGAATCCAGTCCTGCCTTTCAGTTCTGGCTAGACTGGAGCACGTATACTGGTACAGATAAGAGCGCACAACACACAGACTCTAGGGCAGATAAAACCCTCAGGAACAGAAATGGGAGTAGCCATACCAAGAGGGTAGGGGGAAGGTGTGGGGAGGAGGGGAGGAAGGGGAAACTAATCATAATGATTGATGCATAACCCCCACCCCTCCCCAGGGGGTTGAACAACAGAAATGTGGGTGAAGGGAGACAGTGGTTGGTGTAATATATGAAAACAATAATAATTTATAATTTATCAAGCCGTCATGAGTGGAGGAGTGGGGGGAGGAGGGAAAAAAAGAGGAGCTGATACCAAGTCCTCAAATAGAAAGTAAATGTTTAGAAAATGATAATGGCAACGTATGTACAAATATGCTTGATACAATTGATGGAGACATTAATTGGAGTGTTATAAGAACTGTAAGAGCCCCCAATAAAATTATCTTTAAAAAGTAGAATTGCTAAAAAATAAAGTGGTTTTTAAGATGTACAAATATGGAACAATAGATGGATCATAAGCATTAAACAGACATGCCACTTCATTGCTTGGGGGAGACCAGATTAAAAGAATACATGGCCTGAGAACAGATGCTTGTCTTTGACATAATCTATATCCTTATCCTTACATCGCATATATTATTTGTCCTTTTGTGATTCACTAATTTCATCTATCAGAAGATTTTCCAGATCCATCCATAGCATATTCAACATCTTTTTTTTAGCGATACATGATATTCCATTGTATGTATGTACAAAATTTTCTTTATCCATTCTTTTGATGCTCCTTTGGGCTGCTTCCAATGTCTTGCTATTATGGACAGTGATGTAACGAACATGGGAAACCGTATGTTTCTGCATGTGTGTCTCTTACTTCTTCGGCGTGTATATACCCAGCAGGGGTATTACTGAATCATATGAAAATTTTATTCCCAATTGTCTTAGATAGTGCCATGTTATTTTCCACAATAGTCATACATGTTTACAAACCCATCCGCAATTATGACAGTTTCAATCTCTCTGCATTCTCTTCAGTATTTTTTTAATTGAGCTATGATTGTTGATGTAAGGTTATATCTCATCGTTGTTTTTACTTGCATCTCCAGTATGAGCATGCTACTATGAAATGTGTCTGACTCCATTATTTCAGTATCTCTTTGATCTCTCATGCTCTCTATGACTTTACTATAATCTTTACTTATTATCACTGTACACAGATGTTGAAAAAAATCCAGACTGGTGAGTTGAGTGCTCTGTTTATAACTAGCTCTATTTATGTCAAGTTGGTTGACTGTGTTGTTTAGCTTTTCTTTTTCTTTGAATTTCTCTTCTGATGATCTCTTTTTCCTTGAGAGTGGTGTATTAAATTCTCCTACTATTATTTCCAAACTGTCTATTTCTCTACAACTCTTTGAGGGTGTGATTGATGTATTTCTACTATTTTCACTTTCGTTGGGAGCATATATGTTTAAATTGGTTATGTCTTCTTGTTTTATTGTTATTTAATCATTATGTAATGTCCTTTCTTTACTCTTATGATATTAATTGCCTTGTAGTTTACTCTGTTAGAGATTAATATTGCCATTTCTGCTTTTTTGATGGCTCTCATTGGCCTGGTACATTTTTCTCCACCCTCTGAGCTTTAGGTTATTTTTGTCTTTGAATTTAAGGTATGTGTATTATAGATGGGTCTGTTTTCTAAGGTAGTCTGTTACTTTGTCTCGATTGATACATTGAATCCATTGTCATTATTGATACATTCAGGTTTGTTGCTGTCATTTTGCTGTGTTTTGTTTGTTTATTTTGTAGTTTTATTGGTGTATTTGTTCCTCCTCTAATTCTGTATTGTTTTGAATACGGTTTCATTATATTGGTTCCAATGTGGTGGTGTCCTATAGGAAGCTACCAGATTTGTCAGCTGCTGTTGTTCATGGTCTATCAATAGTGTTCCTATTGCTATTTGGGGGAATCTTGGTCTTGTTTTTATAAATTCCTTTAATTTTTCCTTATCTGGAAATGCCTTTGCATTTTTGAAGGTTAATATTCCCTCATATTTGAAGGTTAATTTTTCTATATATAAAATTCTTGGTTAGTAGCTGATACTAAGGGCCCAAGTAAAAAGAAAATGTTTTGAATATGATGATGATGATGAAAATGATGATGGCAACATATGTACAAATGTGCTTGACACAGTGGATGTATGTATGGATTGTGATAAGAGTTGTACGAGCCCCCAATACAATTATTTTTAAAGAAAAGAAAAAATATATTTTATTATTCTCAAGAACATCTCAGTTGTAATAGGTATCAAGCTCTTAAGCCAACATATGAATGAGTGAATTATTTGTGGGTAGTATATATGAAAATGATGTATTTTTAAGCAAGTGGTCCTTCTCAAATTCTCATACACCTCACATTCACATAAGAGAAATAATCACTTTAAGAATATCTAACTGGCTCTTCGTTTATGTCTTGCAGGTACCAAGCCCCACTAGTCTAAGATTTCTGCCACTCATTGGTTCAGAAGCACAGAGGGACTCTTTAGATCTCCTTCCAGGGAAGAAGAAAGGAGGGCATGTTCAACATGAAAGAGTAAGTTATTACTTAATATTCCATAATATTACTTAATATTACTTAATATTCCACTTCTGCCTAGGTTGTTACTTGATACTATGTACTCTTTCCCAGAGAATGGGGCATACTTAGACTTTTCTTTAACATGTTTGTGATCAATCTCATTGAAATTAAAATGATCAATTGGCTAGACAGAGAAAGAGAGGGGTGGGGAGTGGATAGGAACTCTGAGCCTGAACTAATGAAACTTGCCTAGAATTTTAAGGCTTAAATTCACTGAACTCAATATTGCCTAAGGTTATGTATCTCTTCCTTGCCTCTTAATCTTGTACCTACAAGAGTAAGCTATAACACCAGTACCTTTCTGCTCATCAATAAAATTAAAATAACTTTTCCATGTATTAATACTAACTAACATACAACACTTCACAATTTCCAAAGTGCTTTTATAAATAATTCATTAGATTTTCACAATAATGACAAGGAAAATGTTATATCCATTTCAGAGTTGGAAAAAATGAGCCACAAAACCAAGGTCCTGTATGAATTAAGCCAAAGCTAAAATCTACTTCTGATTCCAAATTGTAATCTTATTTTTTTTAATCATTTTATTGAGGGCTCATACAGCTCTTATCAGAATACATACAGTGTCGAGCACATTCGTACATTTGTTGCCATCATCATTTTCAAAATATTTTCTTTTTACTTAAGCCCTTGGTATCAGCTCATTTTTTAACCCTCCCTCCTTCACCCTCCCTCCCTCAGACCCTTGATAATTTATAAATTGTCATTATTTTTTCATATCTTACACTGAACAATGCCTTCCTTCACCCACTTTTCTGTTGTCTGTCCCCCAGGAAAGGAGTTTATATATATAATTATGATCAGTTCCCCCTCTTCCCCCAACCATCCCCTTACCCTCCTGGTATTGCTATTCTCATTATGGTCCTGAGGAGTTTATCTGTCCTGTGTTTCTAGCTCTTATCTGTATCCGTGTACATGCTCTGGTCTAGCTGGATTTGTAAGGCGGAATTGGGATCATGATTGTAGGGGGTGGGGGGAGCATTAAAGAACTAGAGGAAAGTTGTATGTTTCAGCTGTACTCTTATTTTTATAAACATAAGTATTTCAAGAAATGTGAACATATTCCATTTCCACTTGGAGGACTCCATAGGCCTAACAAATGATGGTCATTTGTCCATCATTAACATATATCAGACGTTACCTATAAGTCTAGTTGTGGGGATTTTGGTCTTCTTTACATTTAGCTGTACTCCATACTGAAGGCTGTGATCCTTGATCTTCCTCAGCAAGTACTTCATGTCCCCCTAACTCTCAGCAAGCAACGCTGTATCATCTGCATATTGCAGACTGTTAATAAGTCTTCCAACAGTCCTGATGCCACATTCTTCTTTATGTAATCCAGATTCTCTGATGATTTTCTCAGTATACAGACAGAATAAGTGCGGTGAGAGGACACAACCCTGGTGTACACCTTTCTTGATTTAAAATGATGCTGTATTTCCTTGTTTTGTTCACACGATTGACTTACGATCCATGTAGAGGTTCCAAATGAGCACAATGAAGTGTTCTGGAATTCCCATTCTCATCAAGTTTAGAGATAGTTTATTATGATCCACACAGTTGAATGCTTTTGCATAGTGAATAAAACACAAGAAAACAAAATGTTTTTAAAAAGAGAAGAATATTGCAAGTAAACAAATAAACAAACAAAAAGAAAACATCTTTCTGGTGTTCTCTTCTTTGAGCCAAGATTCATCTGACATCAGCAATAATACCCCTTGTCCCATGTTCTCTTCTGAATCCAGCCTGAACTTGCGGCACCTCCCTGTCAATGTACTCCTACAACCATTGTTTCATCATCTTCAGCAAAATTTTACTTGCATGTGATATCATGATATTGTTCTATAGTTTGGATCTTGTTTATTATTGTTAGGATGATGATGATGGGTCACCTTTCTTTGGAGTTAGCACCAATATATATCTTTTCCAGTCAGTTGGCCAAGTAGCTGTTTTGCAAATTTCCTGGCACAGACTAGTGAGTGCTTCGTCAGCTCATTGAAACATTTCAGTTGGTATTCCATCAATTCCTTGGAGCCTTGTTTTTGTCTAATACTTCCAGTGCAACTTAAACTTCTTCCTTGAGCATTACTGAATCTTGCTCATATGACAGCAAGATGGTGGAAATTCGACTGGTTCTTTTTGGTACAGTAACTGTGTATTCTTTCCACACAACTGGACTAAGAGCTAATATGTTTCCTCAAAACTGGGCCAATAGGTAAAATGATCAGTGGAGAAGATATTAAAGTTGCCAAGGAATTTGTCTTACTTGGATTCATAATCAATTCTCAGGGAAGCAGCAGTCAAGAGATCAAAAGACACATTGTATTAGGTAAATCTGCTATATAAGATCTCTTTAGAGTATTAAAAATCAAGGATGTTACTTTGAGGACTAAGATGCACCTGACCCAAGCCATGGCATTCTCTATTGCATCACATGCATGTGAAAGTTGGACATTGGATAAGGAAGACCAAAGAAGAATCGATGGATTTGAACTGTGGTTCTGACAAAGAATATTCCATGTACTATGGACTGCTAAAAGGACAAACTGATCCATGTCGGAAGAAGTAAAGCCTGAGTGCTCTTTAGAGGTAATGATGGCAAGACTTTGTCTTACATACTTTAGACATGTTGTCACTATTATATGCCATGTTAGACATGTTATATGCCACTTTACATTAAATCAGACAAAAACTAGAAGGGAGTTTGGTATTTTATTGTCTGTTACTAGTTTTTAAAAGTGCAGCAGATACAACTACCACCACAACAAAAAGGCAACCTTATTTATATAGAAAATATTGCCTTGATTATGTTAGCTCTTGTGCAATTAATGAGAATATTAAAAACAGAAACTCACTGTCATTAAGTCAATTCTGACTCACAGCAACCCTATAGGCTTGGGTAGAACTGCCACTTTCAGTTTCAGAGATTCCTGATTAGAGCAATAAAAAGCCTCATCTTTCTCCCACACTGGCTGATGGTTTTGAACTACTGATCCTGTGGTTAGCAACCCAATACATAACCACCACACCAGCTTCTTATGAATCATCAACTCTACCAATTATTTGAGTCAAAATGTTAACAACTGTTTCCTATTAAAATAATAGTATTCTTAAAATTAAATATACTATACATCTACCCACCAATCGTCTGTCCATTTGTTGTTCTGTAGTGACTTGTGTGTTGCTGTGATGCTGGAAGTTATGTCGCTGGGATTTCACATGTGAGCAGGGTCACCCAAAAGGAACAACTTTCATCTGAGCTTGCAGACTAAGAATAAACAACAAAGAAGGACTTGGCTCCCAACTTCAGAGGAAAACCTTATGAATAACTTTGAAGCATCATAAGATACAGAAAGCCTAAACTAAGGAGGCAGAACATTACCCGAGATACTGCCCCTCAGTATCAGAGGATGAGCCCCTCGGGTCCCAAGGCGCTAAAAAATGTCACTGAAGAGGAGCTGATTTCTTGGAAGCGAGTCAACCATGGTGACGTGACTCGGGTGAAGTGTGTGCGCACATTAGGGATCTTCATTTGATCCCTAATTTGATGGGGCAGGACTCAAGGGAAGCAAAAACAGCTGCAAAAATCTGCTAATGATAAGAACTTAGGATGTGCAAGGTACGAATTTAGGGATGTTGGAAGTGTTCAAAAATGAAATGGAACGTATAAAGACTGACATCCTAGGCATTACTTGGCAGAAATGGACTGGTTTTTGCCATTTTGAATGAGAAAATTATATGCTTCACTATGCCGAGAACAACACAACCAAAAGGAATGGTATAGCATTCATTGTCAGAAAGGATCTTGCTGAATCCATCGTGAGGTACAATGCTATCTGTAACATATCTATCCACCTTCAAGGATATCAAATCAATAAAACTATTATTCCAATGTATGCACCAACCACAAAAACGAGTGATAAAGAAATGGAAGAATTCCATCGATTTCAGCCAGAAACTGATCAAACATGCAAACAAGTTACATACATTAATTATTGGTGATAGGAATGCAAAGGTTGGAAACAAAGACAGAAGAGGAGTTGGAAATTATGGACTTGGTGACAGAATGAATCTGGAGAGCAAACAATATAATTTTGCAAAACAAATTACTAGCTCATAGCAAATACCTTTTTTCAACAACACAAAAGGTGGCTGTACACCTTGGACTTCCCTAGATGGAAGATACAGAAATCAAATGAACTCCACCTGTGAGATGACATGGTAAAGAAGTGCAATATTAGCAGCTAAAACTAGACCAGAAGGCAACTGTGGAACATACTGTCAATTACTCATTTGTAAATTCAGGATAAAGCTGAAGAAAATTAAAACAAGCCCAGAAAAGGCAAAATATGATCTCGAGTCTCTCCAACTTAAATTTCGAAAACAGCTCAAGAACATATTTGACCCATTAAACACTAATGATTTGATGAGCTGTGGGAAGGCATCAAGAACATCTCTCATGAAGAAAGCAGAAAGACATTACTAAGACAAGAAAGAAAGAAAAGATCAAAGCGGATGTCAGAAGAGACTCGGAAACTTGCTCTTAATCATAGAGTACCTGAAACAAATGGAAAAAAGGATGAAGTTCAAGTTGAACAGAAAACTTCAAAGGGCAGCTTAAGAAGACAAATTCGAATATTATATGAAATGTGGAAACACCTACATTTAGAAAACCAAAAGGGAAGAGCACACAAAGCATATCTTTTTTAAAAATAATTTTATTGAGGCTCTTACAGCTCTTATAACATTCCAGACATCGATTGTATCAAGCATATTTGTACATATGTTGCCATCATCGTTTTCTAAACATTTACTTTCTATTTGAACCCTTGGTTTCAGCTCCTCTTTTTTTCCTCGTTCACCGCCCCCCTTGTGACCCCTTGATAAATTATAAATTATTATGGTTTTTATATATTACACCGACCACTGTCTCCCTTC